TTTTGCTCTTCAAGGAATCGGCCCATGAAAGAGATGTAATACCTGTCATTAAGAAATTTATATAGTTCTATTTTTTCAAATTGCAGGTAAAAAGATTATATCAAAGACATTTTATGTAATGTTTAGATTATATTATACTGAGATAATAATATATTTCTTCTTTTTACTATTTAATCTCTTACCAAATTGTACTTCCAATTTTCCATTTAATCCCTTATGAAATTTTAGTTTATATTATATTTACTCTACTTTCTAATTAGTATTTATTAAAAAGACATATATTTGGGATATATTTGCAGTATTACTTTGTATAACTAAGGGATCCTTCAAGTAATTGTGTGCTGTAATATACTCGTCTTGTATGTTTCTATCCAATGTTGCCAGATGTTACCATTCGCCAAATATGTCACCGATTACAAATTGTCGATTTTACTTTGAGAATATGGATAGTGACAGTCGATCGACATGTTGATAGACACTAGTAGTAGACATTATGACGAATGCGACATTTTTAATAGACATTCGAGAATAGGACCCCAGATCAGACATATTTTTTACGAAATTATAGATTTATTAACTTGCCATTCGAAAAGGATTCATGGCTATTTTTAATTAAATAAATTTTAATCAATCAATTTTTTTATAACCTTCACTTTTCTGATAACCAAACAAATTTAGTTTTAACAGATAGTTTTTAACCTGAAGAATATGCTTCGATAGGCTTGTTTACTTATTGGCAAGTAGGTATGAACAGGTAAGTCAATATAGGTAACTACATCGATTTGTCAACCAATAAAAATTGATATCAGAAGAGAGATAATTTAATTACTACAAAAAACTGTCATGGAATACTAATACCATGCTTTAAAGTTTTAAAACCGGAGCAATTGAATATGTGCCAGAGAGAAAGTAAAACGTGTGAAGTCCGTGTGATAGAACAGGACACAACATAACAACTACGCGCGATACATCCGTTGAATGTAACCCAATGCACATGCTCTTTTACATGTGATTGACAGAGAGAGTGCTTATTGTTGTTGAACATTAGGTTGTGACAACAAGTGCTGAGTATTATTTGTAATTGGAAAATAAAATAAATAGTAAAACATAAATAAAAAGTGTTTTTATGTGGTTATAATTCATTTTGAATGTTCTTTAAAATTGGCTTTCCGTAAAAAGCAAAACTTCAAATATGGAAGTATCCAGCTAACCAAAGAATCGCTAGATTTTGTTGGTTATCACTCTAAATGTTATAATAAAATTAGTTTTAAGTAATAATATAAAATAATTATTTAAAACCAATTGGATTTGGTGGGGACTAAACACCTTTGAAGATAAATGACATCGTGCAAATGATTGGAAAATATAAAGTATAGGTATATTTTATAGTAGTATATTAAAATAAATTTTATTGTCATCCGCGCCAAAATAATTTTCAACAAATTAGCACTGTCTCTGTCAATCGCATGTAAAAGAACATGCGCATTGGGTTACATTCAACGGACATATCGCGCGCATTTGCTATGTTGTGTCCTGTTCTATCACACGGACTTAGCACGTTTTACTCTCTCTCTCTCTCTCTCTCTCTCTCTCTCTCTCTCTCTCTCTCTCTCTCTCCCTCTCGCCCTCTCTCTCTCTCTCTCTCTCTCTCTCTCTCTCTCTCTCTCTCTCCTACATATTTAATTGCTCCGATTTTAAATTGTCAAAGCATGGCATTAGTATTCTATGAACAGTTTTTTGTAGGCAAGCCTATACGATTATTTTCGTAATTAAATTATCTCTCTTCTGGCACACGAGCTAGGAGGTGCCTATCTTCTCAGGAGGATGCACAATGGGCCTAATGAGGCCTAAGTGCCGTGGGGGTAACCCACCGTCCACACATTACAGATCTCTCTTCTGATATCAATTTTTATTGGTTGACATAGGTTCCCATAGGCGGGTCAATAAATCAATACAATTTCATAAAAAATAAGCCTCATCTGGTTATCAGATGGGTGAAGGTCGATCTCCCACGGTCTCTTAGACTATTATATAGTATTTTAAGTTTTATGCATTTTTTTTATAATTGTTTAATTTATTTTAGACACACATAAACGCTACTAAATTAATGTTTTCCTTTCCTCATTTTCATGAGTAACTCAAATCTCCTATTACTTCTTACATGTTGCACTGCATTCCGTCTAGTCTCTATAGAATTCCTCACTCCCTTAGTTTTATTGGCAACAGCTTTAATTTGATCTTGCACAGCATTCCGTCTAGTCTCTATAGAATTCCTCACTCCCTTAGTTTTATTGGCAACAGCTTTAATTTGATCTTGCACAGCATTCCTTCTAGTCTCGATAGAATTCTTCACTACTTTAGTTTTATTGACAACAGCTTTAATTTCACCTTGTTTCGATTTTTTTTCATCTGTAACTGATTTTAAACTTAATTTTGTTAATCCTTTCTTCTGATCTTCAATAGGTTTCTTTGTCAATTTCGGTATATTGGACTTTATTTTATTTTTTAGAGATTTGTCAGTAATAACTTTAGGATTAGATGTAGAAGGAGCAACCTCGTCTTTTGTGCCAGTATTTGATGAAGAACTTGCTTGTTGTTCCTTTAATTTATCAAGTGATTTTCTCTTTGGAATAAACCTGTAAGATGTAAAAAATTGCAATAAATAATAAATAAATTAACAAATTGTCGGTCAGAGTACTTTGAGGAGGTATGGAATAAGGGCGAGGATGAATAAGGTATGTGAACTCAGAGTGGAAAGAGCTATTAGATATAATTAGAACCTAAATCAGGCATAGGCGACCTTTTCTACTTTCCTGTCTGTATACAGATAAGGAAAGTATGTATATAGACCGTTAGATAATGACCGATTTAGGTAACCCATTTTCGCATATAAGCCTCGAAGAGGGTTGAAAAGTACATTTACAGCTATGAATTCGTTTCGGCTTTTTGTACTTTTTTCTTGTTCTTTTTATGCTTCAGTTTATCTATGAAGTAAAAACTATCATTAGTGACTAGGTGATCTCTTTCAAATTGCTTTAATCAGGAGTGTATCTATTTTTTTTAGTTGCCAATGGTAACAAATGGATTCAATAAATTTTAAATATAAAAATAAGTGACAACAATCTGTATTGTATCATTTGTAATGATGTATTTCATCCTTCGTGTATTGAAAGTAAAAAGTATTTTAAAGAATTAGGTAGTTGAAAAGTTTACTAGTCACAAAACTGCGAAAAAAGATAATGATGAAAAAGAAGAAAAATATGATGATGAAAAAGAAGAAAAAGATATGAACAAATTAAATAATTACATTAAACGATTAAATAGGAGAACTGATTTTAAAAATGAAGTTTTGGAGTTAGAAAGAGAAGATGTTAAAAAACTACAGAACAAAAACAAAATATACATAGTAATTCATAACTATTGGGACATAGGCAAAGGGCAAGTTATTTCGACCAAAACTCTATGAATATACCTCAATAAAATATTGCTGTGGAATAAGATACAGGACGTTAAATAATCATAGTAATAATAATAGACTATAATCTCACAGCAAAAATAATTCACATGTACCAGACACAATTATCTGACACTACAAAAAAACAAGAGTACCATATTACGTAAAAAATGTTTACTTTATATTTTCTAATCAAAAACACTAAAAAGTTTCGTCAAAAAAAGCTTTCACTTAATTTCATCATCAAGCATCATTCACGTGGCGCTCCCTGTAACAAAATGTGAAATAATACTTAAAATAATATTCCTTGTCCAAAGATATGCCTGTGTGCCGATTTTGATAACAATTCATAAATAAACAGTGACATTATCAGAAAAAAAATCAACTTTAACACCATGTATCATATTCCACAGCAATATTTTATTAAGATATATTTGGCATCGCCATATTTTGGTCCAAATAACCTGCCCGTAGCCTATGTCCTTATAGTTATGAATAACCTTGTAGAATTTCAAGATATGCAATGAACTTCAGAATAAAAATTATAAAATTGTGTCATTGGAGGATCAGATAAAGGACTTAGCTAGTAGACTGTCAGATAGTGACCGATTTAGATTCCCCATTTTCGCATACAAGCCTTGAAGAGGGTTAAAAAGTACATCGATGTTGAGTAGAATAAAAGAAAATGTACGAGTGACTCTTGGGGATAACACATAGAAAATTCGATTTTCCCTAACAAAAACGAAAGGTTATTTGTTGCTCATTTTTCCACACAAGCCGTTTTCACTATATGATTAATTAATAGAACTAGGCTTCGGAAAACCAAAGGCTTTAATGTTGTAAGTGGCTAAAGGGTTGAAATAAGGGCGTAATCTTCTAAGGAAAAATCGAGATTTTGCCTGATTTTTCCACACAAGCCCATCGAATGTATGAAAATGTACGTCGTCACTAGTCCGAAAAACATATTTTCTTGAATGACTCGAATGTACAAGTACATTTTAGCGTCGGAAAATTTTTTTGATAAGGAAAATCGAATTTTCCATGTGTTATCCGGAAGAGCCACTCGTAAATTTACCTTATCAGAAAAATTTTCCGACCCCAAAATGCACTTATACATTCGAGTCATTCACTTCCCATTTTTGGACAGTGACGTCATTGACAATTTTTGCAATCAATATATTACATAACAATTTTTTTGAATAAGTCATTTTATTTTAAGAACACAATAAATGAACAAAACATAATTATTTGTAATTAAGTGCTTAATCTAACTCAAATCTATACAAAGTGCTCAAATTGTTGACACTCAGAGCAATGGGAAAGACGTGCACCGGAGTTATGTTTGCAATCTGAATATGTATCCGTTTTTTGAAATCATTGATATTTTATGGCCTATTGGTACACTTTACTTTTCAAGTATCCCCATAAAAAGAAATCAAGAGCAGTTAAATCGGGTAACCTAGGAGGCCATTCTTTTGATCCTCTTCCACCTAGCCACCGATTTGAGAAGATGTTGTACAAGTAGTTTCGCACCAAGACAGCATAGTATGGAGGCGCACTGTCTTGCTGTAGCCACAAATCATTTCTGTTTGGAAACAATCGGTTCAATTCGGGGGGTCAAGAAGTTTTGAAGAAATTCTAAATATCGAGGAATCTGTTAAGGTTTCTTAGAAAAAGTATGGCCCAATAGTTTTATTATCTATTATTTCCACCCAAAAATTCACTTTCTCTGAGTATGGCACTCCATGGCACCCAGTGTGGATTTTCGGTAGCCCAATACCGAGAAGTCTGATAAATTAAATTACCGTTTAGTAAAAATGTAGATTCATCGGAAAACAGAATATTTCTTAAATACATTGGATTTCTGTTGTTTTTGTCCATTATAACTCCACAGAACTCAACTCGTTTATCAAAATCATCTTCCATAAGTTCTTGTTACCTTTTTTAGTGTTCTAAGAACTGTTGAATTTCGCAGGTCAATATCTAATGCTACTTGCCAGTTACTTATTTTCGGAAATTTGGTTTCTACTACCTCTAGTTATGTCTTTCACATGACCCGTTTCTCAGATTTTTTTCTCAATTTTACTCACAGTGGATTGTGAAATTGGTTCTCGGTTTGGGTATTTATTATTAAATAACGTACATACATCTCTCTGCGTACCTGTTTTATCTCCACAACCAATCTTTATTAAAACTTCAATTCTTTGCGTTTCAGTCAGCTTCATGTTGTTAAAACGTCCACCACAATACTATCAACCACTTGATATAAAGCGAATTAAGCTGAATGTCAAGGTAGTAATTTTGATAAGGTAACTAAATTCGTTTTAGAAAAGGTAAGAAGTTGAGATTTAAAAATAATATCGCTACAACGGGACTTGAAGTCTGCAAGAGGAAGGAGTATATGATTTTGGTATTTTGGTTGGAGGACTTTTTTTTAGAAGTCAGTAAGAGGAAGGAGTATATGAGTTTGGTTGGAGTACCTTTTTTATAGAGGCCAGAGGCACGATGAATTGATTTTGAAGATTTTTCGTGGGGGCTCCGCGAAGAAACGGGAGGGACCTGGCAAGAGGATAGAGCAAGGAGGATTTTTTTGGAAATGTATTTCAAAAAAGTTCCGTCACCAAAAAAGTTTGAGAACCACTGGTCTAAACTGATATTGAATACTAACTTTTTACCTATCACTTTTTTCTTTAAATTCATTTGAAATTTTTTCCCAAATGGATAATTTTTTTTAACTGTGCAACTTACAACTCGGCTGTTGATAGCCATAGTAACAATACAGGTTTTTATGAATTTGTTCCAGAAACTGTATCTAGGTGGTTCATTATAACAGATTATTCAAACAACAAAAATATTTTTTTGTTAAAATATAAATAATAATATGCTGAAACACTATATTTGAATGTTACATATTATAAACCCAAAGTACCTTTTCATTTAACTAATTCACTCATGGCTACTCCAAGTTTGAATATTATAAATCCACTTGAATATAAAAAACAACAGGTATAGAAAATATTTTTTAAAGCCCTAGTTTATTTTAAAATGTAAAATGTCAAGTGACCGTTTATTGTCCGTTTACACTGGCCTTCTGTATTTGTTACTTTTACTTTTTGAATGAGCATATGGGAGCGAATGTATTGCTAAACTATGGATGCTTTTCTACTCTCTGACAATCAATATTGTAAAATACATATTATTTTGTGTTATTGTGGAATATTTTTCGGTTCCTTTGTCTCAACTTCGTGCGTTAGAATTTAGAATATGTATCCCTCGTATCTACATGCAATTATTAAAATTGTGAATGAATTCTGATTTTGTTTAGTCTCGGAAGTAATTTTGTAGTATTTAGGCTCTACCCTTAAAAGCATACGCATTCACCAAAAATTAATACTTGAGACTTCTACAAAGAGAAAATATAAATATTCGGCAAAATATTTGGTTTAAAAGATTTTTTTTGTATCAATATTTTTTGTCTCATTGTAGCAGTTTTCTATGCACAAATACCTAAATAATTGTTAAACAAAGTTTTTTAAAATTAACAATCAATTTTAAATGAGAAGGAATCCCCCCAAAATTACATATATCCCTGGAAAAAAGCGCTGCGTAACGACAGCCGGTCTTTCTACTCATACTCGCAGTGTAAGTTGGCAACATCGGTTATTGCAGACGCTTGGAGACCTAAAGGGCATTGTGTAACTCCGGAAAGAAGGATGAGCCGGACGATCCTACAGTATCTACGTATTTTATCTATTTTACGGCAGGCTTTGTCTTTAGTTTGGATTATAATATTGTTAGTGCCGTTGTTGCGTTGGAGCGATTTAAAAAATTAATAGTTTCAGATTAATAACATTTTTAGACTTTTTTCGTTTTTTAGTTTTTAGTGTGGATTACATAAGAATATTGGGTGTTTTTATTGTAGTGCATTTTAGATTTGTAGTTTTGAGTACACTGTTATGATGGGTCGTAATATTTTCATAGGGAAGATTAAAAATATGGCGACAAAAAGGAAAAGCATGAGTAAAAGGATGGAGGTGTCAAAACATTATGCAAGAGATTACGAAAAGTTGATTATACCACCAGTTACGAAATGAAAATAAATGCTTCTTTTTGGAAAAACGAAAAATCGAAAAAGGCAATGAATAGTGACATTTCACATTTGAAAATTTGACATTACGTTTA